AGGCCCTGAAAGTGGCTTTAAAATTTATACCCTTTTGGACATAATCTTCAAGCAAAGTTGTGCATTTTGCTTGAGTTTTTATTGGGAAAATTTYTTTGCGTGTGTAACTGATTAAAAGGCAAGATTTATTCCATTGCCTTTTTTCCTTTTAATTAGCCTTAGTCTCTTGGATACTGTATGATTTCTTTATCGTTTGAAACTTTAAAAAGTAAAATTTTAAAAATGTTTTGCTGTTGCCAGAAAGGATTTGATGTGTTCAATGCACTAGACTTAATGGAAAACAAAACATTCCTGGAAAAACTCAAGTTTGGGATTGGAGATGGAAATTTGCAGTATTACTTGTACAACTGGAGGTGTCCGGGCATGGAATCTGAAAAGGTAAGACAGAAAAATGAGTTCCTGAATTCCATTAGGTATAATGATACATTAATCTACACTGGCCAAAAATGGGCAGAAGTTTTAAAAATAACTTAATTTGCCCTATTTATGATCCATAATTGAGATGCAGAAGACTATTGATGTTTRGATTTACTGCCGTACTTGAACTAAAATACTCTATTTTTCTTCTTCCTTTAGGTTGGTCTTGTATTGCAATGAGAACATTTATGTTTCTAGAACTCTGAGGTCATCGTTTGAGTTAATTTGATCTCCATAACTCTTGAAATGGTGTTGTTCAAGAGGAGTAAAAGCACAACGTCAGTGATACTGAAATAGTCCATTAAATCTGATCAATGAAGACATCCACATGTGACCAAATTTACGCATTTTCAGATAGATCAGACAGTCCATGAAATTCTTCTATTGTCCATGAAAAGAATAAAAAGCACATTCATTTAAGTTTCAAAGCTTAGCTTGCACCTTGATGAGAAGAAGGTATTTTTTCCACTCTGTAGAAAAGACTGTTTTGTACAAACTGAACTTCAGTGGAGGATTAGGTTACAAAAATATTTGCTATTATGTGGATGAACTGCTGCATTTCTATTTATTAAGTGGTGATGTATGTCTGTCAGTGTAACAGAATGAAGGATACAAACTGGAGTATCTTTGCTTATTTACTTAACATGGATATCATCGTTTGGGGGAAAATCATGAAGTATGATACGATTGTAGCKCTATGAAAGTTCTGGATGTTTTTGTAACTGGAGCAGTATGACAATGTACTGGTTTAACTAGTGCATTTGTTTCTCCATAAGCAACGCTGCCAAATCAATAAAAAATACARATTTGTACTTTGATCTTCAATAGATCAGTGGATTGATTTAACAGTATCGCACTGTTCAGTGCACGTGTTATCTATGTTGCCAGAATGATAATACATTACTGTACTTAATTTACAGTTGTGGCACAAAACCTTAGTTTTTCCTCGGTAGAATAACATCAGCCTGTGTGTAAAACTAAGAATTTTAGTAGTGCTATCAGGATATTTATAGTTTGAATGTTTTCAACGCTTCTGCGAAATTGCACATATTCCTTTGTCTACTTTGATTTCCTATGAAGTCTGTAATTCTAATGAAAAGTACCTTGTGTAAATATGTATTCATAAATTGTTCCTGGTAGTGTTTTTATCCTGACTTTGGAACAAGAAGTTTTGCTATATATGTGGCTGGTAAACAGAAGAGAAATGCTCTGCCCTCAGTCCTTGGAAGTCTCTGTACTGCGATTCCTGAAATGTAGGAGGGCTGATCTTTGTTGTTGGGTGGAGCTGTTTTACTTCCCTCATGAATGCTCGACAATGGGAGTGGCTTCTGAAGCACTTTATATGCATTCCAGCATAGCGTCATAGCTAGAGATGATAGCAGTTCTTTCAGTTCATGGATGCTGCAGAATCGTGAGCACGGAGAAAATCTGCATTAAGAAACTGTTCTAGCTGAAAGTGCCAAATTGTGGTAGTGAAGCCTCTGTGCTGTGAGCATCTTTTGAATGTGACTTGAATATCCCATGAAATGCAAGTGTCTGACTTTCCTTTTAAACATGCCTGTAATTCTGACAGCAGATTTGCTGAAAGTTTAATTCTGTACATGAAGATAAATTTGTCTGTTCTTCATAMCTGTTAGCCCGACCCACTTCCTTGTAGCAGTGGGGTTTTTCTTTCTTCCCTCTCGTTTTCCAATGTGTGAATGGTTTGTGGTTTGGTTTCTTTTTCTTGTTGAATTGTGGTGAGAGGATTCTGCCCTAGAAACARTGATAAATACTTTCCCTTACTGCATTATAGCTGATTAAAGCATTCAACCTCCTTCAAACAAAGGAAGGGACTGAACGTGGTTTGTTTGACCCCTGGTTGTGCACCAGCTCGGGACCTCACGAATTTAAAAGGACTTCAAAGGAGATCTATTGGTGCAGTTGGGCATTGTATCTCTGGCCACTCTAATACCTCTCTGCTAGTAGCAATCCAAACAGGTGGTGCAGAGAGAGCTTGGACTCTGTGTTTGGCCTGAGCAGAATTAAGTGCCTGAAAATGTAATTGATGGTAGTGATACCTGATGTAACAAGAAGAGTTTAATCTCAATTCAATCAAAGACTCAAGTTTTTAATTCCTAAAAGGCAAGAAGGTGTCTCCCTTGACAGGGCATTCTCATTGAAGCCCTCTGGGATGAGGAGGAGCTTCACCAAAGGGCTCAATGTGTGCTGCTTCAGCTCTTAAAGGCAGAGCCTCGGCAATCCTCGCTCAGGGCTGCCTAAGGTAAGGTGGGACAGCAGGGCATAGCTCTGTCCTCATGGCTGAGGTACTTCTGTGCTGAGACGTCATCACAGCCCAGGTGGAAGATGCRTTCATATTCTCTGCCTTCCTTCCCCTCAAAAACAAGCAAGTGGAAGAAATGTTAGGCAGATGATTTCTCCTCTCTTCTSTGAAATCAGAAGGCAAATTCTGCCTTTGTATTGTCCTTTGTAAAATTGGGGCCATGGGACCAAATATGTCCAGGTAGAAGACAGACTTGAACCTCAGTTTCCTGCAGCTTGACTTTTGCCCAAATCTTCAGGTTAGGGCAGATGAAGAAAGGAGCATGGCCWGTCKTGTTCTCTTCTAGTAAAATAGTGTTATTTGCTTCTGAATCCAAGGGATAAACTGTCTCGTTTTCTGGCRCTGCATGTTAACTGAGGGGAAGGARGGCAGAGACATGCTCCTGTAGAAGCTGTGCAGCACTGTAGCTGAGAGAGAAAATTTATCAGCCTGAGAGCATGAGGGAAGCAGTCATCTGAGCCTGAGTGTTGGGACAGCTCTTGGAGAGTTCTGTTCATGAACTTGTACGTGYTAAGCATGGCCCCTTCTGTCCCTGCTGAGTGTTCTTCATCTGTAGTGCTTCGCTGAAGTATCACAGTGTCAAGAGGCCCTGAATCTTGAATATGTCCCAGCCTGCACTCACATAGTAAGAAAGTTACTCTGATGGTGAAAATTGTGGGAACTCACTTTGACTTCCTAAGCAGACGCTAAACAAAAGGTAAATGAATATCTGTGTGGAGCCGCTGTCAGGAGCTCAATAGGAAAGGCCCTTGTYGTTTCCAAGGTTGAACCTGTGTGCATTAGGCCTGCCATGAAGGTAAGACTCCTCAGAACCTAATCGGTGTGTGCAAAGGATTGGCAAATGTAACGCTTGCTTCACCACCTTTCCCACTTGGATTTTTAAACATCTGTAATTTCTTTCCTAAAATAATTTCCTATCTGCAGAAGGAGCACAAATCCCTGAAGACAGAGATAGACCTGGGCAGGCAGTGAAGTGCTTGAAAGATGATTGCTGTGCTTATGTTCTTTACCAAAGCTAATCCTTMTGCTCTGTGTAAATGCTAAGACTCTTAAGCTATGGTTAGCCAGCCTGGGAATGTAATACACTAGTGCTAGCATGCATTCCAAGTTTCCTGCATCCAGAAAGCCAGAACAAAGGACATGTATGAAAGACTATGAAGCAAGGCAAGGAAATCTCACCTCTTCTTGCACCCTCAGACAAGGACAAAACTTTTAGCATTAAATGCTTTGTTCAAATTTCAAGGACCAGCACGACTACACAATCCCTTCTCATTGCTACTGCCYGCCTTCGTAGTTGGTATCATGAACTAAAGTAATTTCTAAATAAATGCAAAATATAGATGAGCTATTGAATGGCAGTGGAACTCTGGAATAACAAATCTCTGAAAAATAGATGTAAATTTTACATTTTAAGGAACAACCAAGAAACTCAAAGTATTTTATGCTTTCTTCTACAAGTAAATTCCTAGGCTGTTGATTACCTGAACTGCAGCACTATTTCCTTTCCTTCCTGCAACCCAACTCCCTCATTAGGAMACTGTTCATAGTCCCCAGTAAAATTTAAGGAAATTCAGAACTTACATGGTATGTTTTCAGTCTTGTAGCAGTTAACAGTTCTCATCTACTCTATATAAAGCAGTATATGGCTTATGTCAGTTTCCTGGGAAATAATTTTAGACTTCATTTAGAACTAATGGAGTTTAGGTTTACATTTTCTCACAGGATGTGTTAATAGTTTGCATATGGAAATGGATTATTTTTTTCATACTTCAGCAGTAATAATTTGGTTGTGTTTTGTATTTGAAAATAGCTTTTCCTCCAGCATACCATCAGGTATCAGGTGGAACCCAAGTCTGCATATGTTCGTGACCAAAACAAGCTGCTGTTCAGCAGAACAAACCATAATAGAGTTCAGAAGGGAAGGCCGCCTGTACTATTACAGCTGTTTACTTGAACCCAGCTTTAAAAGAGTTATACTGGCATGGACCTTTGTTTAAATAAACTTTCACTTTTGGTATTGATTTGTTTGAGTAATTATACTTAGATCTGTTTTGCTTAAAGCATGTTCATCTGTGTAAAAATACAAAGTTCACCTAATGTTTTGCATTAATTCCGAAGAAGTATTATGTCTTAAAATTATTTCGACATGTTCATTAYACGCTTTAAGTCTGTGATCTCCAGCTGCAAATGAAATACTTWTCCCCAAGTAAAGACTAACACTCAAGTCTGAGCAATATTCTTTATTAAAGCAGAAAGTACTTCAACCAAATGCAACATAAAGTTCACCTTGTATTCAAGAACTTTACACTGTAAAGCCTTTAAGATTTGCTCAGTTAAAACTGTATTCCATTCAGCATTTAAAAAATCAGTTTACTAGAAAGAACTAAACTCAGTTATGCTGAAAAAGCCTTTTTCTTTTTGCGAGGTGGTTTCTTTATCTTATTGGGATTTGGGACAAGTTTCTTGATTTTCAAAGGCTGCAAAATTACATTTGAAAGATCAGGCTGATTGCTTTCCATATGCTTCCGCTTCTGAYTTGTGAGCTCATCCTCCAGCACCTCTGCAAGCTCTTCGGGTTCCAGATTTTCTGAAGAATCTGTATCTGCGTAAGCCATGGATTCTTCAGTTCCATACTGAAACCACGGCACATCCAAAGCTGGTATCTTTGGAATKATCGCTTCTATTGCTTCAGTGAATTGGTCGGACTGCTTTTTGAAGCCAAGTGCCAAGATGGATGTTAAGCCCAGAAGGGGCGCGACCGTCTCGCTGAGCCGTGGCACCTGCCCTGCCGGCGTGGCGCGGCTGGCGCTCAGCTCKATCAGGTGCGACGTGATCATGGCAGGTTTGGCAGACTTGCACACCAGCAAGAGAAGAAGTTCATTTTTTTCCAATGCTTTGGTAACTTCATTAACTCCAATAGCAAGCTGTCTTCTGATACTWATGTCAGTCCATCCTGCTTTTTGTTGATTGTTTTCTGTTTCCCCTTCTTTAGRGACTTCATTGGTGCCAACGTCACCCTTTTTTTCCATTTGTTTTTTTGTAAGGGAACGTTTTTTCTTTCTTGGACTCTCAATYTTTTTAAGTCCAATATGTTTAATCCTTTCTTCTAAGGTCTCCAGTATAAAATGCATATCTTCTCCATCTATGGTTTTCCATTGGAAAACAAAGGGGTTATCTAGACATGTTTTTACAGTGGTTTTCTTTGCTTTCCGAAGTGTTGCTGTCCCTTGCGGAATTACAGACATCCTGCGGTGGTTCTGTGTTTTATCACCCTAAGAAAGAAAGACGTAGACATTAGTTCAAATACTGCACTGTGCACTGTGGACGTTGTCAAAAAAAAAGCTTCTTTTGGGAATGCAGAAGAGAAACATGTCARTGACATTGGCATCTGTCAACCTCCTCACATTGGCACCCATCCTTCACACATCTTCCACAGGGCAGGTGCAGGGCTGCTCTTTTCATGTAAATTTTGAAAAAAACTGGACAGGATAGTAAGGCAACAGCAGTGACAACAGACCCTTCTGAAGCTCAGCAGAAGCAGCTGAAGGTATTACAGATGTAAAAAAAACAAAACCAAACCCAACCAAACAATAACCCCCCCCACAGAATCACAGGTTGAAGGACCACTTCCACTGTTGCACAGCTGCATTGACCTCCATGGCATGGGAACAAAACAAAAAAACAAGCAAACAAAAAACAACAAAAAGACAAAAAAAAAATCCAACAAAAAAGCTGAATCACAACATGAAACAAGCTTCAAGTTCCTGAATTTATTTAGGATTGAAATTTGTCTTGTCAGTCTAGTCCATGCCTTTGTGTTTTTCTGCATCTGGAAGGTATGATAGAAACTTACAGACTCTTAATAATTTCTGCTTTCAGGGATGGAATGCAATTCCCTGCAAGCCTCCCAAAGTTCAGAAGAGGTCTTTTGTGTCACCTAGACCATGCCTCCTAGTTACCCAAGCACGCATATGGATTGCATTTATGTACAGCTCTCAAAAATATGAAGGCTGCCACCTAAGATACCATTTTGCAAGTCATACCAGCTCTCTGTGTACTGGTAGTGAGCTACCTTGGTATAAAAAGAAAACAAACATCACTAACTGTACTGTCATCAAGCATCATCTATCTGGACTGATTTTCACTCACTTAAACTCTTGTCTGGAGGACAGCAGGAGAAGCACATGGTGATTCTGTGGGCAATTCTGTGCAGGGCCAGGAGTTAGATTTGATGATCCTTGTGAGATCTGTCCAATTCAGGATAGTCTATATTCTGTGATTCTTTCTTAAACATACCTGTATCAATGCCAGTGAACTGTTACCCAAAATGAGAGTCAAAACCACTGAAGTAGTTTTCAGAGAACAGTAAAACTGAGGATTCCAAAATACAAGAAAGCACCGTGGCACTCTTGAGTACTCTCAGAACAATGTACGAAATGCCCTGGGCCACTCCAGCATTAGTCCATCTAACCCAGCTGTCTGCCTCCAGCAGTAAATTGGAGAAATTATCTGGGGAACATAGGGCTGGCATTCCCCTCAGCTYGCAAGCACTCTGTGTTGCATCTGGGATACAAGAACAAAAATGTCCCAACTATTAGTCTTTTATGGAGTTATCATTCATGCAGTTGTCTAATCCCTCTCGCTTATCATCACAGTGKCAACAATCGAAAAGTGAACACAACTAAGAATGGAAATGACCACAAGAATTCTTACTTGTGACTGAGTTAGCATGGAAACTTACAATAATTTAAAAAAAAAAATGAGCTCAGGGTTATTGCTTTTAAAAGCTTTCAATGAGGGATGCTCTGATGACCTTTGAGAAGCAAAGTTAGCAATAGAMTTGTGTATGAGAAAAAGACCATGAAACACGATCACAGCTGAAAGATTACATTTTTCTTTTCAAAATGGTCACTCCTGAGAAAAACGAGTGTGCAGGAAAAAGGAAACAGAGCAAGGAGTGAAAAATCAAACACTAAGCTCCTCCACCTCGCACCGCTGTCACGACCCCCTCGCTTCCTGCGGGAGATCGATCGGGGGAACACCGCCCACGTTCACCTCCACCAGGAACCCTCTCCAGCCGCTTCCGCTCCAGAGCGCTCCGTGGGCTCCTCCTGCTCCTGGAAACGCGGGTTGAGCACGGCTCCAGCACGACACGGGGCCCCTGAGGTGGGGGCTCCCCCGGGGCCGCAGCACCCGCTCCCCGCGCCCCGCAACCCGGGCCGCACTTCCACCGCCGAGCAGCGCCGGGCCGGGCCCAGACGGCCACGGGAGCGGAACGGCCTCGGGCTGCCCGACCGCAGGGCCCAGGCCGCAGCTGCCCCCCGCCCACCGGCACAGAGCGGGCCTTACCTCGGCCGCCCGCGCTCCGGAAACACGCCAAGGGCCGCAGCACGGCCCCGCTCCGCCCCGCGGCCCGGCCCTCCGCCTCCGCTCCGGCCCTGCTCCGCCTCCGCTCCGGCCCCGCTCCGCCTCCGCTCCGGCCCCGCTCCGCCTCCGCTCCGGCCCTGCTCCGCCTCCGCTCCGGCCCCGCTTCGCCTCCGCTCCGGCCCCGCTCCGCCTCCGCTCCGGCCCTGCTCCGCCCCCCGAGGCCGCTCCGCCTCCGCTTCGGCCCCGTTTCATCCACCGGCCCCGCCCCGCCCCGCCCCCGGCCCGGCCCAGTTATTCCCCCCGGTCTGGTCCCGGTACGCCGCACGGCCCGGGGCGGGTGGATTTTTGTGCGACGGGGCTGTGTCCGTGGCCGGCGGGGCGGTGTCCGTGGCCGGCGGGGCGGTGCGGGGCCGGAGGCGGCGCTGGGCTGTTCGGCGGGTCCCGCTGCGGCGCTCGGCGGGCGGCTCCGGGCTGCGCCCCGTAGCGCTGGTCCCAAGCAGCGTTGAAGCGCTGGTGCCGGGTCCGCCCCTGGCGGTCTCACCGTAGGCTCGCCACTGGCATTCCCAGGCCTCGAGCGCTCCCGAAAGTTGGCGCACAGGCGATGGCRGACCTGCTCTGTCGCATGTCAGCTAACGCACTCAGGGCCGGGTCACCGGGTGCTTCATAGGGACTTCACAGCACCGGGGCGTCACTCGCTGAGGTGCAGTGCGCGTGTTTTGCGCGTACGTTGGGTTCGGTAACTAAAGTAGCGGGTAAGGATTGGATCCGTTCAGTGTTTCGCTCAATCTGCCGGAGCCTTTGACAAATCTCCACAAGCACATTCAGTTTCCGCGTTTAACACAGTGCACAGCATGGTTAAGCGCAGTTTCTTGGTTCTGAAAGAGCAGAACTTCTTCAGCAGGACACCGGTGCTTCGGAGTTGGTTGTTTTTTGGTTTTTTTTTCAAATCTCCTATTCATGGAAATTAACTTGTTTTGTTTTCTCGTGAATCCCTGGCTTAATTCAACGTGGACTTGTTTCCCCTCAAATTACTTTTTTTGCCTGGTTTTATGGAAGTTAGTTGGTTTAAAAATGCAGAAGTACCTAGTAGTGTGATCAAACGATGCTCAGGGAATGATGAGCATAAAGGTATCGAGGCATGAATATAAATCATTTATTCATTGATACAATAGGGATGGATTTTTTTTTTTCTTCAATGGTTACATTTGTACGCTAGTTTATCAATTCATTTAATATCCTTTTTATTCTGTCTTAAATAGACCAAATGAAAAACCAGCATTCACTGTGTATTTTATGTGTGTAGCCACTTGTGTGAGGTATCCTTGGGATGACCCACGTTTTTCAGAGCTGCAGCTGAAGGATGCGAGGTCCCACATTGGCGGGGCAGGGACATGGGCTAGGCCTGAGACAGAGGGAACAAACAGTACCAATAACTGTTCTGCTTGCTGTTCAAATATCTCAAAAATACTTTTTTCAAACCAACGGCTTGGCACTCTTTCTGTRCCGCTGCTCGCAGCCTGGTGGCCTAATCCTCAGTGGAATGGAAGCGAGCTCAGGCTTTCTGCGGAAACGGCTGTGGGCTTAAAGCTCCCTGCCCCCACCGCCCCTCGCCCGCTTTGTCGCCGCTCAGTTGTCGCGGCGGTCCCCAGGGGCGCAGCGGGAGCGGGTCCTTTAGTGCTTCCCGGCGCGGCTCCGCTGCGGCTGCCGAGCTCAGGTCACTGTGACATCCCAGCGCCACCGCTCCGCGCCCCCGGAGCCGCCCGGCAGCAGCGCCGCGTCCCCGCCGCAGAAGGAACGAGGCCGTCCGGGCATCCTCGCAGCATCATGACTCTGCAGGTAAGGAGCTCTGCATCTGGCGAGACGGAGACGAGAGGAGAGCGATGCACTGAACGTCCGTGTAATGCCGTGCTGGAGACTGCGGTATTTCTTCAGCATAAAGAATTTTACTGCAAAATCAAGATTACTTTGCAGTAAGGGAAATTTGCCCAAACCCTTGGAAATAATGCATTACTTCTAACAAGTATAGGGTGAGAAACGTGCTGGTTAATTTGAACTATTTCATAGGTAATGTAGTATTTTGGAACCTTACCTGTTCAAGGCATGCATAAATTATTTTTCTTTAGATGCGCATCTGAGTTTGCCATAACTGAGAAAGGCAGGTACATACTTACGTTTTTAGAATCTAGCTGGTTGCTTTGAGCTATTAAAGGAGAAGGGAAACTTCTAGCACTGAGACAATGTTATATGTGTGTTTGGAAAGCATAAATAATTTTTAAGGAAGTTGTGAGTCTTTTTAAGGTGTGTGCATTTTGAACTGGTACATTTTGATGGACTTGTGTTATAGTAGGACACCTTTTACTCCTACCTTCTTGCTAGGGAGAGATCTTCCTTTTACCTTCTCTCTGACTATAGCTTTCAATAGCTCTTGAGGAAATTATCTTCATTGCTGSCTTTTAGCCTCCCACCTTTGTGGGAAACTATGAATACTTCCCTTGTCTTGGCCATGCCCTGATGGATTAGGCTGTTTTTCTTCTGCAGGCTTTCCTATTATCCCTTTCACTTCAAGATTTGCAAGCTCTTTTATCCCTGTCTCATTATGTCTGGCTCAGCTTAGTTAGTGTGCATTTTGCAAAAAGAGAACAACACAATGCTCTGACCTAGATGCAGGGAGTGCACTGCCAGCAGCTTAGCAATTTTCTTCTGAGCTGCAATTATTTTGAATAGCACAGAGGTTTCGTTGTGCTGTGTTACACTTAMAGCTAAGAAGAAGAAACCTATTTCTTCAGCAGTTCAAAATCGCCAAATCTCAAGCATAAGGCCACCTTTGCTTAATTAACAATCACTGAAATTATAGTTTGTTTTCTTCTGCCTTTAATTCACCTTAGAAAGGGAATTTATTAGCTGGATGATTAAGCAATGAGCCATAAATAATGGTAAGAAAGAGGCAAGTGCAGTATGATATGTTGTTCCATTGCTGTATACAGTTACATTTTCACATAAAGATCAGTGGTTGAAATTTTAAGCTCACTGTACACATTCTGCATTAGATATTATAGAGCTTTTTTGTCCACATTGGTTTGGTTTAAAGGTTACATTTTTTTTTTCAATATCCATAAATTTATTGAATCTGGCTGTATGGGAATGAGAACAAATGAATAAAATAATGTTCTCATCAATGAGGCTGTAAAATAGTTGCAAGTTTTGCAAACTGGTAAAATATTCTGCTCTAAATTAAGAACTCATTCAAGCTTTTTTCTTTGCCAAAAGGCAGTATCTGWTGATAGTCTGATAATTTGTGCATTTATCTTTAATGCATATGTGTATGTTTATGTCTGCATATATTTTTATGCTGTTTATTTGAGGAATTAAAGGCACATGAGTTTTATTGGCACAAGATTAAAGGGAAATTATATTTTTACAGGCTGCTCATAAGTATGTTGTGTAAGCAGGCAAGTCCTAAGCAATAGTCTGTGCACAATGATCAGCTAGAGGGGGAYGAAGAAAGAAATATTTAGTATTTAGATTTCAGTTCTGCACTGCATTTGCAAATTTTTTAAGTATCTTGYGATATTTGCCTATAGATGAATAGGCAAATATGAATAGAATAAAATTACATGAATAGACTAAAATATGAATAGAACAAAATGAGATGAAGATAAGGTTATTAACTTGATGGTTTCTTTAATTATTTTTTWAAATATTTTGTTCTGTACAATCTAACACAGCTTCTGGTTCATTCTTACTGTGAAGTTGTCATGGTTTAACACCAGCCAGCAAATAAATACCATGCAGCCAGTTGCTTACATCCCTGTCCCCTACAGTGGCATGGGGAGGAGAACTGGGGAGGGGGCTGGGCAGAAGGAGGTTGAGATAAGAAGTTTAATGATTTTTTTAAAAGTAAATATAACACTGTGATAACAGTAATGAGAGAGAGAGAGAGAGAGGGAATATGCAATAAAACCCAGGAGAAACAAGTGATGCACAATGCAATTGCTCTCCACCCGCTGACCAAGGCCAGGCCCATCCCTGAGCAGCAATCAGCCCCTCCTGGCCAGCTGCTCCCAGTTCCTGTACTGGCCATGGTGTTCTGTGGTGTGGGATATCCCTTTGGCCAGTTTGGTCAGCTGTCCCAGATGTGTCCCCCCCACTTCCCCAGCTTCTTGTGCAGCTCCTCACTTTCAGAGCATGAGACTCTGAAAAGTCYTTGGCTCAGTGCGAGCACTGCTCAGCAGCAACCAGAACATCTTTGTGTTATCAACATTGTTTTCATACTGAATCCAAAACACTGCACTGTTCCAGGTACGAGGGAGAAATGAGCTCTATCCKAGGACAGAAGTTTAGATCAGAAAATAATTCCAAACACGTGAAGGATTTCYGCAGATTTGAATGGTCTTTGTACACSAGTGCTGGCAGAGGCTCACRTGCAGTAGTAACTTATTTAAACAATGTGACAACCCAGTTATGTTTTATTATTAATACTACTTCTAAAGCTTACAGTTAACAGAGCATGACTGCTGCTTTTTTTTGCTTATATTAATGGATAATATTAAGAGGTTGTGATGGAGCCAATGATARGTGTAGTCAAGAATGTCACATTACTGATACTTGGATTAATAATGAAATATTTATTTTAATAAAATTGTAAAAATTTTATTTTTGCAACCTACTCAAATGCTAGGTCATCACATTTATTTTTGTAAGCAAATGTATGTCCCTTTTATATCTGTACCAATAGTGCGACCTTAAATGCTTTGCTTTTAGGAGTGTCAAAGATGTAAAGTTCCAGTTTCTTTCGACCACTATTTTTCAGTGGTAAGGTAGTTTGCACTGCTRATTTTCTTTCCCCTCATTAAATGCTTCCCCATTATAAATGCTGTACATCTATTAAAAATACTGTTGTTAATGCAGAGGTGGTTTTGTGTAATTAGGTTTCAGCAACTCAGTCTTGCTGCCTGAGTACAAAACTCCCTCCCATCCTACTGCTGCAGTGTGTGCSTGGCACGGCTGGAGTGACTCAGGGGTAGGCTGGGATGTAAATTCAGAGCATGTGAGCTTCTCTGCAATCCCCATGTCCTTGCCTCTTCCCCAAGGTGAGCAYTAAGGGGAACAGGCCTATTTTCATGGAAGGATAAAGCCACCTGACTACCAAGACATATAGTGAGGTAAAAAGTCCTATGAGCAATGTCACCCATACTGTGAGCTCAGACTCCTTTCCTGCGTATGGCAATGTGTCTGTCCCCTCCCTGCTCCCAGGCTGAAGGCATCCRTGCTGTGCAGGGTAAAGTGCATCTGCCCCAAACCTCAAATTCTCTGYCTGTGCTGTTGTGACTTGGCCAAAACATGTGAATTCACCATTCTGGGTTTGCTACTGAAAGGAAGGATAGTGTTCTTTACTTACTTTCTATGGCCCTTGGCAATTTTTGGTGAAAAATTAAAAATGAGCTTAACATCTGAACTTGCTGAAGCATTTCAGGTGCTTGTAGGAAATCCAGGTACAGTTGTGCAGAAAGAGAACAAAAGACAGTACAGCGTAAGAAGAAAAATAAAGATTCCAAGGCTTTCACGAAAGTAAGTATTAATATTACAAAAAAAAAAAGCTGAGAAGGGATGCTGTAAGGCTATTTCAACATTGTTGATTCAGCTTTATAGAGCCTAGAGCAYACAATTTTGGTTTATCTAAATTAAATGCAACATATACACATAGCATATGAACATATTCTGAGCCTTATGGGGTTTTTATTCTAGAAAAATCCTGCATTTGTTTTTCACCRCTCTCAAATACTTGGTTGGTTAAAAAAAATTTACAGTGTTTAGTTCTTAAAAGAAATCAGATACATCAGATACAATACATTGGACTTAAAGCTTCATGTTTTTCTATGATTCTATGGTATAGTTGCATTTTAGTAATATATMAAGAATTATTATTAAAGCAGGAACAAACTACATAAGTAGTTGCATGTTTCACTATATAAAATTTTAGACTTGAGAATATAGTTTGGAAGTAATTTAATTTAGAATTTATGCCAAATCATATACCTGATCAAATGACCGAATGTCAGAGCTTTATGAAGACAAATGGCACTTGGAATCTGTCTAATTCTCAGAAGGATTGTTATATTCAAAATAGAACAGCAGCATTTCTCAAACTTAAAACAGTCTTTATCAATTTTAGCACACCAATTCTTGTCTGTGCTCCTGCAGCCCCTACTGGGCATTTGGTTCAGGGAAGCCTTGATGGGAATCTCTCAGAAACTTCTGCTAGTCAATTATGCAAACACTGAGGTTCTCACTGAGTTGGAAGATTATTTGTTAAAAAGCATTGCATTGCTGCAGGATTTTTGTCTCTTCTTTCCATTGCACTTTAAGGATGCTATGAACAGAGAGACCTAGAGATGTGTATTGTCATCATGAACCCCTTTCCATCTAACATTCTGTGAATTTACAGCTGCAGTTAAAGAACATTCAAGATTTATTTTTAATTGCTGTTTTGCAGGGAGCTAGAACATCCTTTTAATCACACATCATGATTTTTAAAAAACATTCCTTTTAAATGCACCTCTCTACCTGTTGCTCCTTGTTGCAATTCTGGTGTTACAGATGTATATCTTCCTGTGGTGAGCACTTTTGTTCTTATTAGACATGTGCTTTCCCTTTGTGTGTTTCATGTAGCAATGGAAAATTTTTCAAAAAATTTAGAAATTCCTCAGAAGTTTATATCTGGGTAATCTCATTAGAAAACTAAATTTCCAGACAAAAATAAAAAAAACCCATGAATTCTATCTCGGGGAGCTGAGGTGACTCATTTGGGGGGAGAGTGGCCAAGTTTCCTTGCAGGAAGCTGCAGTGCACTCAACTACCTGTCCTTACCTTGTTTTGCCTGCTCCTCCTGCCTTAATGCGGGCACCAGCTGATATGTCCTTACATCAGTGAATATGTAGTTTCATGATTCCAGGAAGGGGCCTTTCTGTGAAGAAAGGTGCTTGAGCATCACTCTCAAATTATTACTCGTTTTCCCTTCTTAAATTTAAAAACAGAAATAACCTTTCTCTTGTACTTTGTTAAAATACATTATGCTATAGTGAACCCTCATTCATACTTCATACTCTCATTCATACTTGCTTATTTCTATCACCTGGTTCACCTGGCACAGTCACTTGCAAAGGAGAAAGACATCAATTAAGGAGACAAATGTGCTTGAGGTTTTCTTAAAAAAAAATAAAATTAACTTTTTCCTGTAACTAAAGGGAAAGGTCTTACAAAGAAGCACAGTACAGATTTCTGAGGTAATGCCAGGATCTCAGTGATTTAAACAGTGCCACAGTACTCATGCTGAAATCATTGTTGATTTTTATGCAGACTTTAAAGCTGGAATGGGTTGACCTGGGCCAATGCCAGGCACCCACCAAAGCCACTCCTTCACTCTGCTCTGCAGCTGAGCCAAGAGAAGAAAATTTAATGAAAGGCTCATGAGTTGAGATAAGGACAGGAAGAGTTCACTCATCAAATACCATCAAGGGCGAAAGCGGCTCAGCTTAGACATATCAAATGAATTTATTGCTAACAAAATCAGAGCAGGATAATGAGAAGTAAAATAAGCCCTTAAAAACATCTTCCCCTCACCCCTCCCACCTTCCAGCTCTACCTCCTACCCCAGCAGCACAAGGAGACAGGGAATGGGGTTATGGTCAGTTCATCACCTGAGGCTTCTCTCACTGCTCAGGGAGAGGAGTCTTTCTCTTGCTGCACTGTGAGGTCCCTCCCACAGGAAACAGTTCTCCTTGAACTTCTCCAGTGTGAGTTCATCTCATGAGAAACAATTCCCTGTGATCTGCTGCAACGTGATTTCATCCCATGGGGTACAGCACCCCTCAAACTGCTGCAACGTGGGTCACTTGTCCACAGGGTGCAGTCCTCCAAGGACAGGCTGACTGGAGCAGGGCCACTCTCTCCATGGGTCTCTGTCGTGGAGCACCTCCTTCCCTTCCTTTTTCACTGACCTTGGTATCTGCAGAGTTGTTCTTCTCACATGTTCTCTCTAGTCATGCTCTTCTCTAGTCATGATTAAAACTGCAACACAACTTTTGTTTATCTTTCTTCTTAAATCTGTTATCACAGAGGTGTTACCACCATTTCTGACTGGCTGTCGTGGTTTAAACTTGGCCGAAAGCCAAAGCACCCATGACATTCCCCCCACCACCACTGTAGAAGTAGAGAGGAGAGCAGAAGTCCAATTAACACTAAAATTTATGGCTTTTAGATAAGATAACATAATTGAGAGAAGGATACATATATGCTCCAGAAATGGCCAGACAGGCTCAAAAAAACCTTAAGTTGCAAAATAGATTCATTACTAAGGACTACAGAGATAGGGAAAAATTTACTAGGAGAAGGAAAAAAACGGACATTTTAAGACACCTGTTATTCTCTCTGCGAACCTGTCTCTCCCAGGCGCCCCTCCCCACCCCTCTATGCCTTCCCGCACACACAGGGGGCAGGGGTGAAAGTTTAACATAGATCAGACTACTCATTATGGTTGTCATCCAGCACCATAGGAGAAGAGCTCTTAGAGCTCCAAGCTGTGGAAGATTTTTTTCCCAAGGAACAGTCAGTGTATAACTGCTGGTGGCATGGGATTCTTTTTCTTTACCTCGTGGGAGAAAGGAAAACAGTCCTCCAAGGCCGGTTKCTTCATTCCGGGGCAAGGCCACTCTCTCAAATCTCCTGGCAGAACACAGTTTTGTCTAAGCATCAACTCGCTTTGGACGTGGCGGGGGGCCAAGCCTCTTCCCCCTTTCCGGCTTATGATCAGTCCAGTCCTTCAAGGCCAGGTTTTTTTTTTTTTTTATCTCGGGTGCAGGGCTTCTATTTTCTATACAGGTCTCCCATTGAAGAAATAGTCCTTTTGAGAACAGCTTGTTTTCTCCATGTTTGAGCACCACAGCAACAGCACCTGTCTTCTTCTTACTGTGATCTTGTGTCTCCATTTTTTCTCTTACATCTCCTCACCCTCCTCCTCTGTCCTCCCCCGGTGCAGGGGATGATATTAACAACCTAAAAACTAATGGCAACCGCACTGTATCTTGTTTTGAATTCTTCTTAAGTACAAGACCATACATCATCACAGAGGTGTAACCAACATGTGCAATTGGCCCAGGCCTGACCAGCAGCCTGTCCATCAACCTCAGAGCCATAATGGGTTGGTTCTAAAACACAGGAGGCAAGACTCCTTTTGCTGGAGAAGATGGAGAAAGCTTCTAGAACTTTCTCACAGGAGCCATCTTTGTGGTTTCTTGGTCCCATCCCCCCACCACCAAAAACATGGACCAAGCAAAACCAGGASACTGGCCCAGCCATGGCCAGTCATGTCCATCTTCGGAGCCATCAGGGATTGACTCTGCTGGACATGGAAGAAGCTTCTGGAAGCTTCTCACGGAAGCCACCCCTGCAGCGCCCCCCCAGTACTAAAACCCAGGCCACACAAAATCAATATAGCTGGTTTTGTACATATTAAGTTTGTGTGCAGGATATACTGTGCTTCTGCAAATGCAGATCCAACTTAAAAGCTAAAATAATTGTTGAAACCAACATGTAGCATATTAAAAGTGCTTGAATCTTCCCGCATTAGAGTAATGCAGTGACCTGATGGGCCTGCATTGTCACTGTACAAAATCTGTCTCTCTCTGAAASATCCTAGGCATGAAACAGAACTTGAAACTTTAGCCTGAGAGTTAGCCTGTGAGAATGGCCACATCCTGAGGTTGATGTGAATGTGTGATGTACAATGACGAACACAGTAAACTGACACTTCACTCTGGTGCTCCCCTGTGTTTCAGCTGGCTGTGGAAGGTGGTCCTGGCAGTAGCTCATCTCCATGAGGTACCTGTGTGCCAGCTGTTKTCACCTACTTCCCTGTCAGCAGAGCAGTGGAAATGGAGGGTGAAGCAGGAAGTACCCCTTGGGGGGGATTTAAGCTCCACCACTCAAGCAAACACAGTGCAGGCAGGGCCAAAAGGATTGAGAGATTACTGTGGAGTGTAAAGTTCAATGAATCCCTTCACACCTGCAGTGTGAAGGACATACACACCGCATAAGTTGTGGAGGCTGCTTACCCCTGCCAGCCACATAAACCTATATCCCTTTCTAACAACATACAGGTTTATGAAACTTCTTTCATGGGMAAATGCCTTGCCTGATTGCTAAACCCAAGTGAGTCATTGAGAATATCTAAAGATACTACTGTGTGTTCTACACCTCATGTTTTAAATACACCCCTTGAGAGGAGAGCTAACACTTTCTGTTCTTTCATCAGGCTGAYTTTGATGGTGCTGCAGAAGATGTAAAAAAATTAAAAACAAGACCAACTGATGAAGARCTGAAGGAGCTATATGGACTCTACAAACAGGCTACTGTTGGAGACATTAATATTGGTATTCCTATATATATTTCACATTTACTCATATGTCTTGATAAAATCAAGTTAATGCTATGTAAATCTGCATGATAATCAAAGCTACACATTTATTTTGGCAGAATGTCCAGGAATGCTAGATTTGAAAGGCAAAGCCAAATGGGAGGCATGGAACCTGAAAAAAGGTGCTACACCAGTTAAATTTACATCTTATAGTCAAGTTTATAGAATGACAAATGAGGAAATATAATGACTTCTACTTTTCTTTGCAGGTTTATCAAAGGAGGATGCCATGAATGCCTATATCTCTAAAGCAAAAGCAATGGTAGAAAAATATGGGATCTAGAGTATTCAAAATAATTCCCATTAATAACTAACTCTTCAGTAGCTAATGTACTAACTCTTGAGAAAAATGCAATACTAACTCCTTATTTGGTAGTCTGACACTAATATATTTTTAAAGCATAAGATGTTTCACTGTAAAGGATATTTACATATAGAATATATTTTTAGCTTGTAACTTATTCTAAATAAATTTGAACCTAATAAATTAAGTTTTCTGTAAGAATTGTGTATTTTTTGTGTGTATTAAATTAGATTTAGCATTTTGACTGGAGCAGGCAAACAGAGAAGCTCTAACAGTAAAGTAGCGTAGATGTGATTTTTTTGCAAACAAGGTTGGGGAGTAAAGTGAAGAGTTTGAGCACATACAGGAGAAGAGGGAAAAGATGAATGCATTTGTTTCCAAAAATATCAGCCTCTCCCCCCCCTCCCCCCTCCCCCTTTAAAGGATTACAGAGGAGGAACAGAACAACTCTTAGGCACAATTGCATGCAGAGAAAGGATGACTTATTACAAATTGCTGTGGACTAACCATTACACATTCTGCTATCAATTTTGAGGGAAATACTTATAGACCAGCATTTTCTATGCATCTTGTTATGTGTTTTCTCARGAAAATTTCATTAGCAGGTTCCAGCAGATAGAAGTGACCTCCAGGAAGTTCATAAAAGGAAGTATCTCCACTTGTTATTTCTTGCCAACCTACAAAACATATTTAAAGTGTCAGAGAAATGTCAGCTATTGTGATCATTTTGCATAACTATTTCAAAGTTATTATTTAATAATTATTTTAAATCTCATATCAGCTTTTTAGTTATTACATTGAGACTACTCTGTTGGTTTATTTCCTTTAAGAAGGAGATAGACTCTAGTAAATTCTAATTAACTGATGCAATACAACATGAAAAAGTAAGTGTAAGAGGAAAACCATTTAAGCAAAGTACCTTGTGAATCATGTGGTTCATCATCAGACCCATTAAAGCATGTAATGTCACAAGAGAAGGGAATATCCATTTCTGCCTTCTCAAATCTGTGAACATAAAAAGTAGTCATAGAATGTTCCATAAGATATTTGGAATATGCTTCCACATGCAAAATAGGTTTTATTTGTTCTTCTACAAAACTTAAAAAATTTTAGGAGTTAGATTATGCAGGGCATAAGGAAAAGAAAATACTGCTTCTTGAAGTTTCTTAGCTCCTTACGCTACTTCTATTAGGTCTAAAATTATAAGGAAAGAATGACCCAATAGTTAGGAAAATAAATGACCTTCAACCTGCAATCAAAATTCTCACAATAAATCATTTTATTGCCTACTTATATACAAGTTCTAATGTTTCAGCATCTTTTGGTGTCATGTTCCTAAGACCAAAACGTGTCCCATATCAAAGAGTGCCCTTGTTTTTGTCAAGGTAAGAAGCCTTAACCACTCAACTGCATGAGCTGTTGTGTAACATCCAGAGGGGACAGCAGTTTGGACAGAGGAAGCCARTTACTCTCTGGGTGCCCAGAACAAAGGGATTGTTTTCTTCTGGTTAGGCTAGAGGACCTTGGGTCAGGAGGCTGAATGCAGTGTTCCTGAAGCATGATCAGCTRTGATTGTTAGCCACAGAAAATAATAAAGATGCAAGAATATTCCCTTTTAGAAGCTGCTAACTTTGGATCCTAGGTAGAAATGTAATTCTACCATGACAGGTTCACTACTGCAGTAACAGTCGTGGTTGCTACAGTATGCCGTACTTCATCTAGGGTGAAGTAGAAAACAAATAGAAAAGCACACAAAGGAAAAAAAAAAAAACTGTTTACTGTTTCTTATTCTTTTTATAACAGAAATGAGAACAAATAACAAAAAAACAAAGAAAAAATAAAACCTGACATGATCAGACTGAAGTAAAAACGCAAAATAAAAATACAAAAGTAATACAAAGTTGCAAAACTTACGAAAATGTCTGAAGAACTCTAAAGTCTTCTCTGAAAGTATGCAGCAGACGTTTCCTAACATCTTCAAACTGCAGAAGATGAGAGGGAATTCCTCCTAAATTCTTTAGACCTGCAGTAAGTTCTTCATCTGTGGCATTAGATATGGGTAGGTTTTTGAGGGGAAGCACTGCTTCAGACTGTCAGTATCAAAACAGATCAGGTGTTAGGTATAATACACTTTAAATAATCTTCTCATTAGGAATTATTTTAGTAATATGTACAATAATTTTCTGTCTCCAAAATACAATGGCTGATTAGTTTAACATTCACAGAGAACAATTCATGGAAAGRGTTGGTAGACTGTGTTTTCTGAAATTACAAATTATCAGTGAGCCAAATACTCTCTATTTCTGAAAATTCCATAGACATATAACCATTGATTTAATTTTTTTCAAGCTTGACTCTTACTATTGAAATGCAACTAGTAAAACAATCTAAGAGAAAKAAAAATCTAGCACTGGACATAAACCTGACTAATGCATGACTGAAGAGACCAACTGATTATTGAAATTTTCAGGAATAACAATTGCTTCCATGAACCACTAGCTTGCACTCAGGACTGCTAAGAAGSCTCAGAAACTGAAGAAAAGAAATAGCAAATGCTGCCTGAGGACAGGAGGACTGGAAAAGTGGCACTTCACTGCTGTTTTTCTCAGAAAGACTAGCAGAACTAGCAGAACCTCAGAAGAAACTGATTTAAAATCCTACAAAGAATGATGAGAGAGAAAAAATTGGACAAAACTAGTGATGGCTGATGCAGGAGGTTTATGAAAGACTAGGTCAAGGCAGTTACTTCACACATTACAGAGTAAGGAGGATCACTTATTTTGGTTAAATTACTTTGGAGTTTTAAGCCAAAGGCCATAATAAATAACAAAATATTAAAAGAAAAAAACTAAGGATTAGTTAGTTTAAGCATTTATTYGTTCAAGCATTAGTTTAAGGAGATTGTTGTCCCAAGGCTAAGGTTAGCAGCAGTATTATGTATTCTGCATCTACCTCAGAATGATACTTTTCTCTCCATAGATTTGGAAGCAATGCTTTTTTTGTATTAAAACAACTCTGCATACCATACGGTAAAATAGTATTTTTACTCTTGGTAACTAATTTATAGTTCTGTTTCATAATGTTAATGATTCCATAACTTACGTGTGGGGCATGTGCCCCTGATATGAACAGCTGGACTGGCTCCAGTCCGTACTTTTTTTTCAAATTAAGTGCAACTGCAAAACATACGTAAGATCCAAAACTGCAGCGAAAAGAGAAATTAAAGCAAAGTAAGCAAAAACATAAATAAAACCTGGAAAATAGAAACATAATTTTAATTTCAGTGCTAACTGGCTATCTTGAACAGTTGCTGAAACCATATGTGACATGCAGATTATAGTGACATTAGTTAATTTATATGAAGTACATTCCTACACAGTATAACTTTTCAAGTAAGATCATTTCTTAGTTTCTCTTTCTCTTAATAGCCTCTTTAATTTGCAGTAAGAACAATTATTTTGAATACTTCAGACTAAACAATCGTCAAAATCTGTGTTTCATGAATGATTCACCCGCTGAATTCATATAGATCAAGCACTGACACAAATATTAACAATGAACACAATTACAATTTATCAGAAACACATGTTCAGATGTTGTGCCTGAAGGTATAAATAAATAAATAAATAAATAAATAAATAAATAAATAAACAGAGTCTTTGAGAGCAACTGCATGTTTTAGCATGACTTGACAGAAGATCCTTGCAGAAGCATATTTTCCTAAAGTTTTTGCAAATAAAAACAAGTAACTACCTACTCCTAGAGCTCAGAAATAGAAGCTCCTTCACCAGGGTATCTAAAAATGTATAAATTTTTACCTGTGACCAAAAAATGCAAATGGCTTTTCTTTCAATTCTTTTAAYAAAACACTTGTAATTTCATTAACTATGCTTGTCATGTCTTCTGCAAAAGGCTCATCAAGACGATTTTCTCTTCCAGGAAACCTTATACAGGACACTGCAGAAGAGGTGAAGGAAGGGAGGGAAAAGAATTATAGTTATTTCAATAGATACAGTAAAATAATTTTGATTATGTTTTTAAATTATTCTGTGGAATATATATACTATTTGAATTAATCTTTTCTTACAGTTGATACCATGCACTTGCTATTGTTACTACTGTGATTTAATCCTGCAAGAGATTAGGTTTCCATCCCTTCCTTTAGTCACAATGCTGCTCCTCCAGCTGATTTGACTGATAAATGCCCTGGGTCARAATCTGTAAGATCCCGATTTTAGCTGAGGTTTGAAATAAACTTTATTGCCATAAGTTTTAATAASAACCAAAAATGCATTAATTTCAATAATAATAACTTTGAGGGTTGTGTGAAACATAGCCTTTCAAGGACAGCATTAGTGACTGAAACTATATTAGAATTGTGCAATCCCCATTTTCTTCTTTCACAGCTCTTCAGTGCTGCACACTGGAAAATGTGGAATCATAGTGCGAATTGGTGGATATTTGCATTAATAATTATTTATATTTATATAGAAGGAAATTTTACATGCTTTTACTATTTTCCTTTCAAAACTGAGGATTTTCCTCTCACTCTTTAGCAAAAGAAATGAATGAATAGAAATGAATGCCAATTTTCTCAAATCTCCTTGACATCATGCATACTGCCAGTTATGTAGATGTAATGGGTAAGACACAAAATATTTTAGGAGAYAAAATAAGCCACAATCTAATACCATAGATAGCAGTACAGAAAAGTTTGCATCTTCTAGACTTCCTGCAGWAACTATCTCTAAAAGAGCATGCTGTGCTTTGATTTTATTCATCTGTGTCTGCCATTGGTCCTAGGCTATTTCCTTTGTAACTTTCTTGGAAGTAGTTCCAGTGAACAAAAACATTTTTCTTTCTTCTTTTTTGTTTTTTCCCCTAATTTCAAGGAAAATTCAATGTGCAACTGGCTTACCAGAAAGTATACRTGCATTGAGAGGACTGGTAAAACTGCAACGGCAATACTCATTAGTATGGAATTGTTTTTCCTTTGTGGGAGGTCTGGGAAATGGCCTTGGATCCTCTTCAAATAGGTCAAGCAATGGATCTTTTTAAGTGCTTATATATCTTGTGAGCAATGAGAATTTCTTSCTAGTGTAACTAAATATCATGTCACTGTTACAAAATTCATAGATTAAATTTCAGTTTTGATACAAGAAGTGCAAACAGTGGATAACAGACACTCTGTGCAGCTTCTCAGCATTAAAAATAGTTCTCATATCTTCACTGCTAACCTTGATGAAGACTGGCTTATCAACAGTATGCGCAGTATGATAGCTTCTGAATCATACCAATAGTTGCTGAAGCAGTCAAGCATATACTATAGTCTGAAATGTAGCTCTGAGAATGTAATTCTTTCMCACAATTGAACATAATTTGATTTAAGTAGTACAGAAAATGTACCCTAATGRAAATGCAAGTTCCCAATGAATGCTAGTTCCTTCCTTTCTGGAGAAGACCCTTTGGATATAGATAGCAGCRGTCTCAAGACTATTATATTCCATTAAAAATAGCTGGCTATTATGTATTTCAGAATTGCTCAACCTCTACCTTAACTACAAAAATTACTAACCTTCAATTGAGTCGCTGAAGTGTTGGCCCCATTGAGCAAGTTGAGAAGTTCCACTTCCAGCCCATGGAAAGCAAATCAATCTACAGACAGCATCTGGCCTTTTGTGTGCACAAGCAATCAGCTTTTCCATTTCTTAGAAAAACTGAAAAACAAGAAAATAACACATCATTCTAGAACAAGACTCTTCAGACACAGCAAAATAAGAGTGAATTAAGTCTAAATTGAAACAGCACAGTGCAATATGTTCTGTCATCAGAACTGTTTGTGCTACAACAACTGTTAGATATGATCTTCCTGCAACACTGTAAACCAGTTCTGCTTTTACAAATGATAGCAGAATAGTATTGGACAATACCCGTAGTTAATATTTGCTCAGTCACTGACGACAACAAACATTATAAGTAGCAAAATAAATTGATAAGGGATTTTAGGAAGACCATTTAAAAACATAGAGTTTTAGAATAGACATAAAAATACAAGGTCCATCTAAAGACCTAGAAAACATAAGGACCACCTAGTTCAATATTCTCTCTACCACAGCAGTAAAATATATGTCTAAGGAACAATAGGATGTAGTTTCTTTATATATATGTTTAYGAATTACTCTTTCATGTATTTTTCCAGTCTCCTTGAACAGTTAGCAGCCATGATATCCTCTGGCAATAAGTTGCACAGCTCCACTATGTGATGCATGAAGAATGATGCCCTTTTTTGGTTTTAATCTGACTTGTACAAATTCATTTGATGGAAACAGGGTAGTACAGTAAAGAGAGTGAATAGTGCASCTCTCAGGTTTGCCACTGAGCATTTCTGAGCTGTTCTGTCATATTGTCTCAGCCCTCAAACATTTCTTTTCCTGAATGAAAAGGTCTGGCTGTGTTAGGTATTCTTCATACCCATCATCACTGCCCATCTCTGGACTTGTAATTTTGTTATATTCTTTTGTGGTGGTGGAGTAACCAGAGCCACATTCGACTTTATCACAGCAGCTTTAGTAGTTTTGCTTAGTGACTGATAGAAGTAACAGCTGAAGCAAGATTTATAACTACTTCTTCCTTCTTGCTGAGAAGGAAAAATAGCATTGAAGATGCCAAGTGCATTGTCTCTAGCATCAGATACTGTTTTTACAAGAAAAAAGCAATTCTCAATCATWTTTATTCTTCTTTCCCAAATTTCTGGTCCTTTATTCTTGCTGATTAGATTTGTGGATGTAGTGGCAAAGTAGCACTGATAGCCTATCAGACTGTGTTCTGTCAAAAGAACCCGGGAACACCATGTACTTGGTGAAGATAAATTAATTAGAAACCTAGCAATATGAAATTTTTATAAAATGTTTTCTGCAACCGTTAGAATAAACTCTCATGTTCTTGTTTCAAAGACTGAAAAAAACCCCACTGATTAGGGAATAGCAAGCAGCAAAATTCCATTTCCAAAATGCTGCAAATAATTAAGGCTATTATTTCTTGCCTTGAATATAGCTCAGTATATGCAAGGGCTGATTCACCAAAAAATACACCTGCATGCCTACAGGCAATCTTTTTTACCTGCACAAAAAGTTTGAGAAAAACAACCAGATCGGAATAGGCAGCAATTCAGACCTATTGCAAAACTACATAACACAAACAAGACACAAGAAAACCGTCCCAAATGTTGCTGTGGTGGTGGCTCGATTTWCATGTATGTTTGAACTGGAGAGTTYRTTATTTGTGAATATTTGTTAAGAATGTGAATATTTGTTAAGAATCATTTCAGACACAGTAAGGGCAAGACACAAAAAATAAGTGTCTCAAAAATCACTGGCTATGTGAGCCTAAAGTAGCTAAAGAATAGTGGAACCAATGCCACAGAAGACCTAACTCCTCTGGTGGATTTTTCCATGCAATTAGTTTCAGTACAGTTTTAGTTCCATTTACAGTCACTTCTTCCACAAAAATACAAAAAAAAGCTCAAGCATTTCTGAAGCCATTGTTTTAACTTGCAGTCAAATAGAGAAAGAAAAACCTCAAAATAGCAAAGGAAAAATCTCAAACTATTCCAAAGGTGACACACAATTTCAAGCATGATACACAAGTACATTTAATCAAAGTCCTTAAATTTAAAGATATGTTAACAGTTACTGAAATCTTTCCCACTTTAAACTCATACAGGTTTATTCCATCACCATCCAGCTTACTTTAAGTACAAATACCTGAACAGTCAGAAAGACCACTAGTGCCAGGCAATGACAGCCCAAGGGTGGATCCACTTCTCAGTGCTGCACATCAAGAAGCTGCACAGACACTTGCTTTTTTTCCCCGAGGCTTAAGGAAAGGAGCYTCATCACAATAACAAACAAATGAAAAAGGCAGTACTGAGGAATGCAGCATCCAAAAAGGGAGGCAGAAAMCTCATCTGTTAGATGTGACACACAGCATTTGGCAGAAACAGAAAAAAGGAACTAATGCACTAATCCCAGTGAATGAAAAAGCACAGGTTAGCATGCCCACGACACTCCACAAGTTGCAGCAGTTTTCATAGGAGGAGGCCCACAACCTCACTGACAAAAAAGCCCGTATAAATAGAAAAGCCAGCCTTTTTAAAGAACTATCTCTAGAAGTACACTGCTCACACCTCAGCTGGAGAGTTTTGTAGGGCTCTGAAAATGCTGATGTAGAAGACTGTCACCTGATTTGATTACAACACTGCATTCGATTAGTAGGCCAGCTCTAATTTCTGCAAGCTGAAAGACATAACACTGTGTGAACTACACACTGTGGTGATATATGATGATTTCATATTACCTATCCTTTATGCTCCTGGCAATCAGATGCTGTAAGTAACCAAAAAACACAAGGGTATTTTGCAACTGCATTTGCAATACTAGGAAGACTGGAATTCCACCCCCTGGCTTTTTCTTTGTAGTGTTACTCTACCAAKAGTATTTGTAACAAWAAWRATAAAMTAAAAATATTCAAMAGCATTGATTAAAACTYAGGAAYCTGAGTGCCAAAAGGGGTTTTAATGCTTAAATTGGACATGTCCTCTGGAGTACTTTGTTGTTTTCACACTATTCTTCCTTCTTATACATTTCTCTTCATCATTTCCAGGAAATGAAAATATCTGTGRTGTTAGAAAAGCCTACCTGTTGACTGGCCAGTCGTTAAGCACTGCTCCKTTCCCAAATGAGGTCTGCAATCTTCTATTCCTTTCTGATTTCTGTTTTCCTGGGGAACCTTAAGTCAACCCTCCGGGCTGCAGACTCTGCAGTGATGGTTGKTCCCAGGCCCTGCAACTGCCACTTCCAAACAGCAAAAGTGGAAAATCACRGAACTTTTATGTTGTAATTGCTATGAAGCACAATGAGGCACACCTATGTTTTGAAGGTGCAGGATTTSGAGCATCTTTTATTGGCTAGTCCTGACTTGTGTTGTTGTGCTCAATATCGCTTCACGTGATGTATCTGGTCACAGAAGTATTTGTAATGAAGCACCCCATACACTTTATTTATTCCTACCTTACATTTTTTCAGCAGTAAAATTTGACACCCAATGTTTATGTTACAAAAGCCAACTGCTATAAAYGTGAGGCCCAATAAGAATATTCTTTAAAGTAATAAAATACTACTGGAAACAATTATTTTCTAACTAAGGGTGAGAACAAAAGAGGTTAARAATAAGATTTTGAAAGTATAGCATTAATCAAATAGCAGGTTATATGCTATTTCTTTAAAAATAATGTAATTATAAATTGTACATGGTACTTGTTTTTGTTTGCCTTCTATTTTTTTCATTTTATTTATTGKTTTTCATATAAAAATCAAAGTTTTCACAAATTAAGTAGTTCCAGGAGATGCCACTCTCATCCAAAATTGTGTTTGCTTTTTCCAGGACTGAAGACAGAAACCTTCACAGAACTGATTTGTCTCTGCAGTCCCAGCATACAGACTAGACTGGACTATTTCAGTTGGAAGGGACTTACAGTGATCACCTTGTCCAACTGCCAGACCAGTTTGGGTTAAAGCATGTTACTAGGAATTGTCCAAGTGTCTCTTAGACACTGACAGACTGGGGACATCAACCACCTCTCTAGGAAGCCTGCACAATCTGACCCTCCCCTGGCACAACTTTGAACCATTTTCACATGTCCTGCCGCTGGGTATCAGAGCTCAGCACGTTCCTCCTCACTTCCCCTCCTCAGGAAGCCATAGAGAACAGAGGCCCCCCAGCCTCCTTTTCTCTAAAYTAGACAAGCCCCAAGTCCTTAGTCACTCCTCACAAGACATGACCTCCAGCACTTTCACCAGCTTTRTWGTCTTCCTCTGGATTCATTCAAGGACTTTTACATTCTTAAATTGTGGGGCCCAGACTACACACACAACTCCAGCTGAGACCACACCATCACTGAATACAGTGGGATAACCACCTCYTCTGGCCAGCTGGTGATGTTGTGCTTGATGCACAAATCCCTGGATGTGGTTTGCCCTCYTGGCTGCCCGGGCACATGGCTGACYCACACTGAGCCTGCTGGCAGCCARCAGCCCCAGGTCCCTTTCTGCAGGACTGATCTCCAGCCACTCCTCTCTCAGTTTTCACTTGTGCCCTGCTACTGGTGCATTCCACTCCTGMATCCAGATCATTGATTAATGTATTGAACTGAACCAGAACTAGAACTGAACCCTGAGAAACAACACTGGTGGTTTCCTGCAGCCAGATAAGTACAGATGTTCAGTACAACTATTTGAGCTCTGCCCTTCAGCCAGTTCTTCACCCAGGGCATCATGAACCTGCTCCTCCAACTGCTGGACAACTTGTTTAAAAGGACGCTGCAAGGGACATATCAAAAGCCTTATTATAATCCAGTAAAAATACATTGACTGCCTTCCCTTAATCCACTAGGTAGGTGATGTGCCTCATGACTGCAGTATTCTTTAAATGCCTTTCAATAGCATACAGTATAAKCTTCTCCATAATTTTTCTGAGAACTGATGTTACACTGACATCAACAAACAACAAAACATAGGTTTGTAGTTCCCCAGATTTTTTTTTCAGGCCCTTTTGGTAGAAAATAACATTGGCTAGGTTCCAGACAAGCTCCCCAGACTCTCAAGACTTTTAGCAGACTGTAATGGTTTTAAAGAAAAAAGAACTTCAGTGGGGAAACTGTTAAGACTGATTGAGTTCCTCCCACTCCTCTCCTTCAGAACAGCTGAAGAAAAAAATAAAGAAAAACAAAACTACAAGAAGTCAAAAAACATTAAAGTCACAATTTACTAAAGAGAATAGCAATAAACATAACAATATTTTATTCTTATTCTATACCATACTCATACCTTTTATACCATACTCAAATCAATACCTTTTAAACTATATATATATATATATATATATATATATACATGTGCAATGATCACAATTACACAGGTATTATTTTGGTACTCACTGATTATCCCCCAAGATGTGGATTGAGTTAATTTAATCCATGATTGGTGTTTATAGTATACAGCAGCAGTATCATTCAACATGCAGTATTAAATAAACAATCCAGCATTACAGAGGATTCTCACCCAAAATCAAATCCCCCTGAAGGTACACATTGTACACATCATGTTTCCCTATCTCTCTCCATTACCCATCAAGTGCACACTGGTCCTTGAGCAAAACAATCCCACAGATGGRTTTGGTTTTTGCTTGAGGCAGGACTAATCCAAACTGTCTTTCCTAACATATCATGTGCAACATAGGTACTTAATCTCTTTCTACAGTACATTAGGATTCTTACTAAGCCGGATCAGCTTGATTAGTAGAACCTCTAGTGTGAACAAATCAGGTAGCCTTTGCTAAATGCAGAGCCAAATGTTTGAAGGTCCCACCATCCATTGCTTCCAATGTGGTTTTTAGCAGTCTTGCACCATTTGACTTTCCCAGTGGCTGGTGCATAAGGAATACTGTACACCCACTCAGAACTGTATTCTCCAGCCCAGGTGTTTATAAGTCTATTTCTGAAATGAGTCCCATTGATGGACTCAGTTATCTCAGGGGTACCATCCCTCCAAAGGACCTGTGTTTCAAGGCCCAGGATTGTGCCCCGGGCAGTGGTGTGAGGCACAGGGTAGGTCTCCAACCATCCAGTGGTGGCTTCTACCATTTTAGCACATAGCACTTGCCGTGACAGGTCTGGGGCAGGATGATGTAATCAACCTTACAGGTCTCCCCATACTTAGACCCAGACCACCTTCCCCACACCACAGGGGCTTCACCCACTTGGCCTGCTTGACAGCAGCACACACCATGGATAACCTGGGAGATGCTCTCCATGGTTAAAGCCACCCCTCAATCACAAAGCCCCTTTTCCCTTATGATCTGAGGTTTCATGGGCCCATCAAGACAGAAACAACTCACTCTTTTGTTGCCAATGCATATCAACCTGAGATACATTAATCTTGGCAGCTTGATCTACCTGTCTGTTGTTGAGATGCTCCTTGGGTTGTATGTATGTACTTTTACAGTCAACTTCTCTACCTAGGCAGTGATATCTTGCCACACTTTGGCAGTCCAGAGAGGTTCCCGTCTGCTGCCAGTTGGTCTTCTTCCATTGGTCCAGTCTCTCCTGCAGAGCATTTGCTACCATCCACGAATCAGTGCAGAGGTAGAGTGTAGGCCATCTCTCTCTTTCAGTGATATCTAAAGCTATCTGAATGGCTTTCAGCTCTGCAACCTGCCTTGATCCACCTTGAACCTTAGTAGTGTCTGTGACTTAGCACGTGGGACTACATAGAGCAGCTTCCCATTTTTTATTTGTCTCTTCAATATGGCAGGATCCATCAGTAAAGACAGTGTGTTGCTTTTCATTTTCTGGTGGCTAGTTATATAGTGGAGCCTCCTCAGCACGTCACCTTCTACGCCTCTTCTGATGGTAGTCCAAAATTTTCACCTTTGAGCCAATTCATGATGATCTCCAAGACCCCTGGGCAACTGGGGTTTCCTATCCGAGATCACTGTGTGATCAGAGTGATCCACTTACTCCACATAGCATCAGTGGCATGATGTTCCCTTTGAACATCCAGCCCAGCACTGGCAGTCAGGGTGCCAGAAGAGGCTGTGCTTCAGTACCAATCACTTTTGAAGTCCCTCATAAGGTGCTAGGATCTCTTTTGCAGTTGGGGTGTAGCTAGCCTCAGATCCTCTGCATCCCTAAACCCAGAACCCCACGGGTCATCCTGGAGTCTCCCCAGGTACTTACTGCCAGAGGCTCCAGGAAAGACCGTTCTCCCTGGCTGGGTTGTAGAGCACATTTTTTACATCCTGTCCTGTCCTGTCCTAAGCGGCCCAAAGGCTACTGCATGAGCACTTATTKTTTAATCTGTTCAAAAGCTTGCTGTTGTTCAATGCCCCACTTAAAATTGTTTTTCTTCTGCATCACAAGGTCAGAAGGGCTTCCAATCTGGCCGTACTCTGGAATACGCATCTTCCAAAAACCCAGTACCTAGGAAARTCTGYGTTTCCTTCTTGCTGGTCAGTGGGGACATAGCTGTYATTTGTTATCACATCCACTGGAACCTGACAATATCCATCTTGCCATTTTGGTCCTATGAACTGAATTCCCTGGGCA